CCCATCGCCCTCACATAAATGTACTATAACGGCTTCCAATACGCTATTCTCAATATTACAGCACGACCCTGAATGAAACTTTGCACTTGCACGGCTGTCCAGTTTCAAACGTTTTAACGATCGTCGCCTTTGGCTGTTCGTCCTCACTGTTCTTTACGGCGACTTCATGGTGACTATCACTGACAAGTATCCTTCCTCATGATCGTTCATGGTCATTGTAGATCTCCCTCAACCTTATTGTTCTCCTTTCCGAGGAGTTGAAACTGAAGCTTCAGCTGCTTCCGAAGCACCAACCACGTCACTCGGAATGACTCACATGCAAGCTTTTGTAGGCTTTAGGCTTTCGGCTGGAAGACTCAGCTTGTGGCACTTAGGCTGTGGTGGATTTTGGCATCTGCTTTACTTTGCAAGGGGTGATGCTTGTGATACAGGCAGTGGCAGGCTGAATAGGCAAGCTAAGTTCGAATCCCGAAACCCCAGACGGAGGAGCCTTGCCTGCCTGGTGCGAGTGAGATCCTTCACCGAGCTGGCTCATAGTTTGATGAAGTCGTGTTTTCCGAGTTCAAAGCTTATTTATCGACGTCGTCTTGCAGAGTTTACGTCGTCTTGCGGAGTTTACAGTGAAGGCCAGGCTGTTGGAACATCATTATTCCCCAAGCTGGAAACGAAGGAGCAGCAGCGCGCAATTTCGAAGTCCTACACCTGGTACTGGCAGCAGAACCTGAGGGTTTCGGAGTGCGTTGCTTTCGCCTTGGCTTCACAGAATTTGGAAAGTCGGATCCCCGTCAGGACTTTGAGCCCTGAACCTGCCATGATGATAACTCGGCGTGTTAAAGTCTAACCCTTCTAACCCCCGAACCGTAACCCTTAAACCCGAAAGCCCGATAAAGACCAAACCCCGAATCCAAAAACTGTGGAGGCCATGACAATAGCCCCGCAGCGCTAAACCTCTAGAGCGTCAGGCAAGGGCATCGCAGCCACAGCGGTGCAGCTGAGCAGATGCCTCAGCGAGTTGTGAGAAGTCGCACACCTACTAGGGGTAAACCATTCGCACTTCTGTTTCTTGATAGTCCTGAATATATCAGATATACTGATATACTGCACGATATGTACCCCCAAACCCGATTTTATTTGTTAAGGTCCCTGGCTTACTTCCAAGATTGTAAAGGTGCAATTGTTCATCATCTCGATCCGGCTTATTACTGCTGTCCCTGTCTACGCGGTGCTACTCCGGACCTGCAGGGGTGCCTGCCTGAAGCCGAAGACTACTCCTGCTACATGCCTCTCAACCCCAAACCCTTAAAAACCTAAACCCTAAACCCCTAACACCTAAACCCGTGGTGTATGTGGTTCGGCTCTAGACAGAGAGAATGAGGACCCCATGGCAGTTTGAGTTTGCAAGGCTGACGAATCCAGACCTGCAGTCGGGGCAGTTCTGCTTGCATCCGTAAACACCCCCAGTGCAGAACATAAGTTTTCAGACTTCTAAACCGCAAACTCCTCAAACCCTAAAGCTCTAAGTCCCCGAAAAGATCCTCTGTGCAGACGCCGGGAGGAGAGCATGCCTGCAACGCGGAGGGCAGCTACGGCAAGAACGGCACCGTCCTTGCCACGGTGGACTTCAAGGAAGGTACCCGAGGTGAGGGCCCTGTGCTGATTTAGCGCCTAGCCTCAGGTTTTGACAGCCTTCATGGGTGGGGCGTAGGGTTTAAGGGTTTAGGGTTAAGGTATTTAGGGGTTTGGGGTGTAGGGGTTTAGGGTTTAGGGATTTAGGGGTTTGGAGTTTAGGTAGATGAGTAGACGTAGGGCTTACGGCTGGGTCGAGAGTCAGGTTGACTGGAGAGGCCTACATTCCAGGTAAAGTCATAGGCTCCATTGTAGTTCCTTTTTGCTAGTACCTTATAGGATCATACATACAAGCTATATAAACCACAAAGAGGAACGATAATGGAACCTCATTACAGGTATAAGCCTTTATAAACTCAAGGATTCCAAGCCGTCTGGGGCTTATGACGTGCACTGGGGGCCCTGGGTTCCTAGATCTGCAAGAGGAGAAGCGCCCCAAGCAGACAAGGAAGCGGCTCGGCCACGCCTTCAACGGTAAAACCCGAAACCCCTGCATTCAATCTTCAGGGCCTTTGGGCTTAGGGTTTCGGGGTTTAGGGCTTAGGGGTTTATGGGTTAAGGGTTTAGGGTTTAGGGTTTTAAACTTGAAGGGTATCTTGCAATAAAGTTGGAGCGACACAGAGAAGGTTAGGATGGGTTCGCGCACAGGGATCAGATGAGGCAAAGCAAAACCTGAAACCCTAAACCACACCGAGTACTATAGCGGCCTGAAGAAGCAGTAGGTAGCAGTGACATCTCAAACTCAGCCCTAGAAAACTCTGAGAAAATGCTCGAAACAAAACCTACAGCTATCCACAAGCCCTCAATAAAACGAGATGTTATAAGCAGTAGCTAGAAGTTTCATCCCCATGGGTTCCCTAATTCATATATTACTTCTTACGAAAGCCTGAGTTTATTTTCGAGGCCCTTAAAGTAAACCATAGAAAACCCTCGAAGAATAACATGTTATGAATACATATAGGCACCCTTCCACACACGATCTTCGAGCAGCGCAGGTGGCAAGAGTTTGTGGTACAAGTTCAACGTCTCAGCCGCTGCTGGGGACTCTGGACGCGAAGAGCTGGCTGTTAGGGTGTACCTAAACCCCTAAAAGTAGGTAACATAATGGCCCAAAACCTATAAAGGGCTATTATTTTACAGACTTTTGGGGTCCAGGTAGGGCCGTTGTGAGCAACCTATTTAGGACACCAAGGACCCAGGATTCAGTGAAAGTAGCGCAGTACAGCCAGAAGCTCTTAACCTCTGAGCCCGAATCCCTAAACCCTACTTCCGGGGATCTGCAGGCGGAGAAAGGAATTTGATCCCCTTCTGTGTTTGGATTTGACTCTTTTTCGTGTTTGGATGTGACCCCTCTGTGAGTTTGGATTTGACGCCCTACCCCTCGACGGAGAAAGGGTGCTTACAACAAAACATTCCAGACGCCTTTCAGGTGCAATCCAAGATCGGTCAGTCTAGCCTTTGCCTCATGCTGACCACCAACGTCAGTTTGCCTTTTGAGCCCCGGCTCGAGAAAAGCTTCCGTGTCTGTTATAGAAGTATGAATCCCTAAACCCTAAACCTTATAAACCCTAAGGCTTAGGGTTTATAGGCCCTAAGGATTGCCACTCTTATCCCTAAGAGTTCCCGGAAGAAAACCCTCATTACAATGCTTTTTCACTACAATATCAACAATGATACTGTTAATGGTAAACGCATATGTATGGATGTGTATACATGTGTAGACGCACGCCCCCAATTCGTACTCAACTCACTCAAGGCCCCATGTTCAAAACCCTTATAGAACTCGTGAAAGGAACCCTATTCTTATTTGTACGGATGAGTGTGTCACGCCCAGTTAATTTACCACTGTCTCTCGTAGACAGAGCTGGACTGGACTCGGTGCGGGGGTCTACTCGTAAAGCCTTCAGGGCAGAGAGTTCGAGATATTGGTCCAGCTGAAGGTTCCGTTTCCTGCCTAGGCTTCCTGAAGGGTTATTATTATCATTATTATTGTTATTACTATTATTACTATTACTGTTAATACTACTATATCTGCTATGTTCTTGTGCCGGGCGGTTCTGTAGAGGATTATGTCTGAGAGCTATGGTTCGATTTCCAGTTGAAGCTTTGATTTGGGCTTGGGTGCTTTGAGGGCTTGTGCAGTACCAGTAGAATTCAGGGCAAGGTCCTGTTGGATTTAGTAAGTGCTCATTCAGGATTCGGGGTTACCTTGGCATTCTTCTGGTTGGCTCTTGGAACTTTAACCTTCTGGGTTTCTGTATGAACTATAACAAGTAGGCTAAAAGTTTAACTTTTAGGAGGGGTTCTGAAGTCAGCCAAGTTACTGTCACAAAGCCAAGACGAAGCTTCCCGACAGCTCTCAACCCTGACCTCTAACATCCTCAGCGCTGAAACCCTAATAAGGCCTTATAGCCTTATAGCCCAAAGCCTTGGCCCAAAGCCATAAATGCAAAAAGAGTCTCTAAAGCCTTTTACAGACCCCGGCTACATTACTTGATCTAGGCGTTTTGGAGTCTTGCAGCAAGACAGCGAAAGCTACGTCTGCTTGCCTAAAACCCGGAAAAGAACGACCTGATAAACCCTAAACCTGAGCTTTAAAAGCCTGAAGCTAACGTCTGCTTGCCAAGGGCTCTTACTTCACCGTGGCGGCCACGGAGAGCGCTTTGAACGACCGGCCCTACTTGGTTTTGGGCAGCGTGGCGTTTAAACCATGAGCCTGAAGCCCTCGTCTGCGTTCTTGTTGAGGGTACTTTCAGGTACCATTGTGGGGAGACCGTTGTGCGCTATGGATCCCTATTCTGGTAACTTGCTCTAAGTTCCTTGACAAGAAGCCAGTAGACACTCTGGCTTTGTGGTGGTAGATAGAAGGTGCCCTCTACACTCTGTCTTGACGTCAAATGAGTGGCCTGAAACTTTGCTGTGACACTTCACAACACTGCCCTAAGCTTCAACAAAACAAGCAAAGCTGTTTGGGGAATGGCGGGGTCTTTTTTCAGGGTTTCATAGGGTAGGAGTGTTTCGGCTCGAGGAACAGGCCCGGATGCAAAAGGGTCGAGGTTCAGGGCGTAGGGTTGAGCGTTAAGGTTTGTGGTTCTGGGGGCTTGAAGTTTACATACGGGAAGGGGGATGAGGTCTCAGGGCATTTCAGGGCTTCAGAAATTAAAGGCCAGCACAGAGTAATACTCAACATGTACGGTCTTGGTACTGACGACGATAGTCCAGACGGATCTACGCCCTGTCTGATTCTTCAAACCCTTCCATTAAGATCAGAAACATGCTTTAAGGGGCTGTATAAACACTAATTCAGGCCTCTACTGAAAGTACCGGGATGAGGCTGGCAGCATCTCTGCACCTAAAACTCAGGCAAGCCTTGGATGCACGTGGTAGGACCGCACCCGGCGATCACCACGCACCATGTCAAGGTCCTGGTGGATTCCAAGGACCAGGGTTTAGAGTCTAGCGTGGGGATTTAGACTTTGGGATGTACTCTAGGACTCCATGATCTAGGCAGTTTGTACAGCAACAAGCGCTAGGTTTGTTTAGTGGTATAGGGTGGGCCTGGGGCCTCATGGACAAGTTAGAAGATGGAGCCGACGATCCCTGTGCTCTTTTATGGTTTTTTTTATTGCTTAGGGTGACTTATCGCAAACGGGTCAAGAAGCTCAGGGTTACAAGCAGCTGACTGTAAGCATAGCGCTCTTTCGCAGACCCCCATTCTTGAAATGCCTTAATGTTGTTATAGGATCCCTGTGATACCCCCTTTTAAGGCAGCAGGGGTATTCATCAGAGGAGCAGGCTGGGGTTGCAGGTGCTACAGCAATACCTATGCAGGTTTAGGGTTCTGAAATGTATATTTCAGAATGATGCGTAGTGGTCTCCCTAGAACCCCTGCGTTATCCTAAGCTCAGGGTGCTCCTAGGTCAAGCTTTGTGGGGTTTACGATCTTGCGATTCCAGTGCGCGTAGGCGTGGCGGTAATTGACTTGGCACAAATATACCTCCTATGGCTTCGGCCCACTCTAGCCGAGACCAGGCTGCAGAGCCTGCGCCTTTGGATTTGGGGGGGCCCTCTGCGTCTGTTGATTTTTATCTCGCACAGGGCCACGGCCCACACCCAGGCCGTTATTCCATGGGGAGATTTGCATCGAGGAACGTGGTCTCGGGTTGACCTCCTTCCCGCCTTTGGCCATGCACTTCGCTGCCTCACCCATTGGCAGTGGCCCGCCCATGGGGCCATAGGGAAATGGGGAGACTTCGGTCGCGACCTTACCCATTGTCGTTTAGCTTTCGGGCATTGCGGAGGCACTACACTCTGTGCCGCACCATAAAAAAATCGGCCCGGCTCTTCTGGGCTGGGTTCCGCCCCTAGAGCTGCCAAGTGCCCCTGAGGCAACGAACAATCCCCGATTGCGGCATTACAGAAATTTTGTGGGGGCATACCGACAATGAGAAAAAAATAGGGTACCTTGTAGGTTTTGCAGGGTTTTCGATGAGATCGAGGTTGGGGCTTAGCAACACATCTCGGCAGGACCGTTTGTACCTGAACAAGCGCGAGGGCTCACGCGGGCCGAAGGCAAGTTGCAAAAAGCCGGGATGCAAGAGTGTACCTAGAGTCTCCATTGTAGTTCCTTTTTTTGGTTTAACCAATTCTATATTAAGGATCCTAAAAGGTAACCCCAAAAAGGAACTACAATGGAGACTATAGGTACTTCTGTGTCTAATGAGTCACTCGGCCACAGGAGCGGAAAAGGAGGCAGACAAGGAGGTAGAAAGATAGATACACAGACAGATAGATAGAAAGACAAACAGTTAAACAGATAGATGGATAGGTGGATAGACGGGTAGTTTGGATAGATAGATATATAGATAGATAGATAGATAGATAGATAGACAAATAGATAGATAGATAGATAGACAGATAGATAGATAGATAGATAGATAGCTCGATAGATCGATAGATCGATAGATAGATAGGTAGATAGATAGATAGATAGATAGGTAAAAAGATGGATAATTGGATAGATACATAGATAGATAGATAGATAGACACATAGATGGATGGATGGAGAGATGCAGAGGATTGCGTTTGACTTTGGCAACACGGAACGGTACCGGAGTCTCTTGCGCGGCAAGGGACGGATGCAGAGGGAAACAGCGGGAGAGAGAGAGAGAGAGAGAAAGGTCCTGCCACAGGCGGGCGTGCCTTTACGAGGGGCACGCCCCTTCGGGCGTGATGAAACAGAGAGACACAGAGAGAGCGAGAGAGAGAGAGAGAGAGAGAGAGAGAGAGAGAGACAGATAGAGACAGATGGAGACAGAGAGAGAGAGAGAGAGGCAAACAAAGAAACACTTTTGCCAGCCACAGCTTGCTCGTGATTTCTTTGTGTGCAGGTGTTCTTCTAGAGGTCGGCAGTATCTTGCAAACCCTGCCCACAAAGGACATATTTGTGTAGCATAGACCTAACACGTAGGTCACACCTACTCGCGACTATCCCGTGAGAGATACGGCCCAGTGCCCTTGCCCTTGAAGACTGAGACCCTGCAGAATCCTAGTTCCTCAAGCTCAAACGCCGGGGCTTTGTCCTAGACCTAGGCAGAGCGGTTGTAGCCGAACGGCTTTAGCGCAAAATCGGCTGGCAGGTACCCGGCAATGTGATGCTGCTGTATGATGTGACTCGCAACGCAGAAGGAACATGCAGGTTCTTTAGAGGGAGGCTTGATGTTGAGGTAGGCATGGCAAGTGTAATCACCACGATGCATTTGCTGACCATGTGGTGCATATAAGAAGCTTAAAGGACTGAATATACACGTCAGGGCAAAAGTATATGGCCATATGCACACGTCCGTATTCATGTGCACATCTCGCTCGAGGACAGGTTTTTATGTGCAAGCTTAGAGGCACCGTGCTGCCGCCAGTCATTGAGGATGCCTGAACGAGAGACCTCTTAGCAGGAAGGGCCTTGAAGTTGCAATTCTCAAGGAGCCCTAAACCCCCAAACTCCAATCCTTGCAGGGTTCCAGGCTAAGGGTTTAGGGTCATACAGCTGAGGAGTCCAAAGACGACTTTGTTGACATCAGCCACAACATTGACATTCGCAACATGCTGGGGCAGTGCTGCGGACCCATGGGTGCCCCAGAGGCTTCTAAACCCTAAACCCTGAAACCCAGACCCTGAACCATAGACCCTAATTTTCAAAAATCCTGAGCCCTTAAACTCTGAACCCCTAAACCTTTGAGCCGAGTGCCCAGGAGGGACAGTGGTCGACCCGAACGGAACCATTTACGGCAGCACGGAATGGGGAATTTGGCAGCTGGATGCTGCGGACAACTTCACTTGGAACAAGATTGACTCATGGTCGCTAATATCTGATACTTGGGGTTTCGGGCCGCGGGTTTGCACTGTAGACTTCAGCATTTAGAGAGTTACTTCACCTGCATAGTTGTTTTGATTATCGGTTCACCCACAGAAGGCTCCAAAAGACTCATGCATTTAAGGCTTCGGGGCCATACCTATGTACCACATTGTTACAGGGCTGTTGGGGCTATTTGAGCTTGGTGGTGCTAGAAATGTTTAGACTCTCAGACTTCTTCTGTTGCTGCACGAGTCTCTGTATGGCCCAATGTTTAGATAGTCTCGGTCCAGAGCCCATGGACGGCAAAACCAAGGACTATTATTGGGGCAACGCCAAGCCACCAGCTTGCAGAGAACGGCTGCACCGAGCGCTCAAGTCCTGGATTTCTGAAACCGTATTTCTTCTAGGTATATTGGGGAGACCCTACTTCGGGCCTTCTTAAGAGGGACCTTATTGAGAGAGTCTATATCCCCAAGGGTCCCCCTAATCCTAACCCCCACGTTTTCTTAAACCACGGATTCTGAACCGGGGCAATGGGGGCGATATGAGACTCAAGTAGGGGTGCACCGGACCCCGTAAAGGAACCCCAAACCGTAAAATACCCCTAGCTTCCCAACCTAAAGCGCCCCTGCTTTAAGGGTCTTCACACGAGGATCCCTACTTTTATTCCTTTCATGGTAATCTCCAGAAGGTTCCCAAGCACCAAACCCTTACGGCCCTTACGTATACGCTTTAAGCCCAAAGCCATAACCCCTTCCCCCCCCTCCACCAAACCTTGCACGCTTTAGCCCCCCCAAAAAAAGAAAAACAAATCCCAAGAAATCCCAAGAAACCCCTGGATGAAGCCACATCTCCACAAGGCTGAAATGGCTCGGGCAGCACCTCTTCCATCAGCCGAGGGGCAACAAGTTCATCCGCCAGAATGTGGAGACCCTCAGGCAGCCTCTGGGGTCTAGGGGTTCGGGATTTTAAGGGAAGTTTAGGGTAGAGTAGACAGGGAAGTCTACGGTTTAGGAGTTAATATTAGGGAAGCTGAGGGTTTGGGATTTCGAGAAGTTTAGGGTTTGGGACTTAAGGAAGCATCGTAGTGTAGGATACGAGTCGTATCAGCGTTCTGAATTCTACGGAACGTGAGGGGTTCTGAGTCACCCTAGACCCTAAACCCCAAAGCCTTGAGCCCTGGAGATATTCAATAGTTTCCCATAAGGAATCCTTTAAAGGAGCCGTTTAAGGAGTCCTTTAAAGGAACCCTTAAAGGATCCCTTATGGGGGCTCAGAGGATATGGTCTTTTGAATTATTTCCGGGGGTTATTGTTTAGAGATGGTAATAATTTTCCTCGAGGTGCGATGAGGGAGCTTGACCTGCCCAGTCCCAGAGTGAGTGACAGTGAGCGCCGACACCTTCAACCCTAAGACGGTGGTTCCCCCACAGTGGTATTCCCACTGTAACAAGGAGGAACAGAACCGCGAACAACAAGAACGATGCAGAGAAGATGAGCATGGCCCCTGGCCAGGGATGACACACGCACACATGCACACACATCGAGAAGCGTAACAAAGTCTTCAGACCTTGCCTGGCAGTGTCCGTCTGTAAGCATCTGGAGAGAGAAGACAGCGCGCGAAGCAGGGTTTAGTTTAGCTTCAGTACCCTAGACTCTAAACGGTTAAAACCCATAAACTGCCATAAACCACAAATCAGAAAAAAAAAAAAAAACTGAACCCAAGATGTTGCTGAAACCTCAAGATGTTACTCGAGGGGCTTAGTTGCGCAAGGCGTCATGAGATCGCTCCGCCAACGTTTGGAAATTCCACTGAGCTGCACTTGAGCGGAGCTGTGCTGATGGAAGGAGGTGGCCAGAGCGGGTTTAGGGGTTTCGGGAGTTTGAAAACATATCATGGTTCCCAAAGGGTTGTGGATACCGTACGTCCACACTGGAGTCCCTGTTTCTTGAATTCATTAATGTCGTACGGGCTTGGGGTTGCAAGCTGAGTTTACAGTTCGGTTCAAGGCGCCGGTTTACTCGGTATGGCCAAGAGGAGCGAGGGTGAAAGAAATAGCAGCGTTTTCAGTGCAATCTAGCAGACACTCGGATCGCACACGCACGCTTGACCCACGAACTACACTGCACCTTTTGGATAGGGGGCTCTCAATGCCCGTATGTTGATATGCCGCAATTTCTTTAAACCCTAAACCCGCCCAAACCCACTGCCCATCCTGCCCGGCCCGGGTGTCCTGTGCAAACTTGACAGCTCCCGTGGGCCTAGTCTGCTTAAGCAGAGGCCTACACCCCTAAACCTCTAAACGCCTGAACCTCTAAACCTCTAAGTCCCTAAACCTCTAAACTCCTAAACCTCTAAGCCCCTAAAACCTCTAAGCCCCTAAACCTCTAAGCCCCGAAACTTCTAAGACAAACCTCTTAGCCCCTACACCTCTAGGCCTCTAAACCTCTAATGTAAACTCCTAAACCTCTATCTAGACCCCGAGAACTATCCACCAGGTGAGCGCTTGGTGACGTTCGTGCGCGAGAATCGCCGGCGACGTGACGACCCGACGCGCCGCCGCCGACGGAATGAGGGAACGATCATGACGATGACAAAGGACCGTGGTTTAGGGGTTTAGGGTTTAGGGGTTTCGGGTTTACGGGTTTAGGATTTAGGGTTTAGGGGTTTAGAGGTTTAGGGGTTTAAGGTTTAGGATTTAGGGGTTTAGGGTTTAGGGATCATGACGATGACAAAGGACCGCTGTAAGTTTTAAATTAGTTTTTCGAGAACGGTCAAGGCTACCAAGGGACTTACACGTTTGAGGTTTCGGGACCAAGGACCCATGAGGGTTTAGAGAGAAAGGTGATGCTAGAAATCAAGCCTTACAATTCTTCACCCATCCTCTGGAACTAGGACCTAGACTGGCCCGGCGCTCCGTAATCCGAAGCCCTTTGCCCACTAAGCACCACATCCTAAGCCCTAAACCCGTGAAAAGACGAAAGCCCCAACCCCGAAGCTCGAAGTTCCTGCGGCCCAAACTCTCCGATTGCACCCTGAGGCCGCTAGGCCTACACCCTGAACCCTAATTTAGGGAGCTACCCATATATAGTACCCTTATAGTAACCTTATAGAAGCCCTTATTATATACTATCCCGCGAAGCCGCATAACTCAATCCGTGGAAGAAGCCCCTGCACCCCGATCTTAGATCTCAATCCCTGAACCCCTGAACGCCATCTTTAAGGGCTCCCTTTTTAAGGGTTCCTCTTTAGGGCTCCCTTTGTGCCAGGACATCTCCTCCTTGCCGCCGAAGGATCGAAACCTGCAAGCTTCCCTGGCCACGTATCTGCCGGAAGAAGGCCTGGTCTCGTCTCGGTTTAGGGCCTATAGGGGTTTTGGGCTTAGTGGGCTCTTTTGGGGTTGAGAGTTTAGGGCTTCGGGTTTAATTAGGGGTGTAGGGTTTGAGGGCTTAGGTTGTAGGATTTTCAGTGGGCTGCATTTTTCCATTTCTGTGGGCTTCCAGAACCAAAAAGGGAGCCCGGTTTTGGCGTTGGGTACTGCTCGCGTGGGTTTCTATAACAAGATCTCCCAGCAAAAAACGATATGCATAGTTGCCTTGAGCAGTGGCAAGACTCAAGACAGCACGAAGGTCGTTTCCAAGCCTGCAAGGAATGATAAGAAGACAAGCCCATGGCAAATATTCGAGCTCCTCCAAGGCCCCTTTTAATATACCCCACCATAGAATGTACACGACCGCAGGCAAAAAGAGCAGGTTATGACAGTCCCAGGTACAGTTTAAAAGCGGGCCTTTCCCTTCACTAAGCAGAACCGATGGTAAGGCACCCTTGTAAAAGAAAGGATCCTGAAAGGGACCCTAATTTAGAGAACCCTACA